AAAGCTCTAATCCATCACTTTATTGTACTAAAAAATAGTCTGTGGTTCCTCCATAAACTTCAATATAAAGTTCAAACTCTTTAGCCAAGAATTAAAGGCCCTCTATAATCTGAGTACAACTTATATTTTCAGACATATAATCCATATATATTTTCGCATTTTTTAATAAGTAAAATGGTCCCCTCATTTTACACTTTTGCAAAACTGTCTGTGCTCTTCTTGGCCCTTTGCTTTCCATAAATTTTCCAATCACTTTAGGTGCCCTACCACTAAACATTCAAATATCCAGTTGTGATTTTTATTAAAAATTTATTGAATTTGTAGATTAAGTGATAAGAATTTTTTTGTTTTTATTAAATTTATTGGGGAGACATTGGTGAATAAAATTATAGATTTAGGTGTACAATTCTATAATATATTGTATTGTGTATCCACTACCCTAAGTCAAGAGTTTTCAGTTAATTATGTTATTTAGTGTTGCTATCCATAAATATGATATAACTCTCCATTTATCCAAATATTTTATATCAATAAGTTTTATAATTTTCTTTTTTTAAAATATTTCTTTAATGATTTCAGATAGAAAGGGGAAGGGAAAGGAGAGAGAGAGAGAGAGAGAGAGAGAGAAATATCAGTAATGTGAAAAAATCATTGATTGGTTACTTTTTGCACACCCCTACTGGGGATCAAGCCTGCAACCTAGGCATGTGCCCTGACCGGGAATTGAACCACAACGTCATGATTCATGCTCATCCACTGAACCATGCCAGTCAGACTATAATTTTCTTATTTTTTTTTTTTTTTTTTACCTTTTGACCTCTTCACCCATTTCTCCCACCATCACCTTTTTGGGTTTTCTGTTTATTTGTTTTTAGAATCCACATAAAATTGAGATCAAATGGTATTTGTCTTTCTGTGTCATGCTTATTTCACTTAATATAATGCCCTTAAGGTCCATCCATATTGCTATAAATGGAAATATTTCATTTTTATGGCTGAATCATATTCATTCATATATATATATATATATATATATATATATATATATATATATACACACACACACATATACATACTATCAATCTATTCTTTATCCATTTACCCATCCATTGACACTTAGGTTACTTCCATATTTTGGCTGTTGTAAATATTGCTGCAATGAACATGGTGATAGATATATCTTTTTTAGTTAGTGTTGTGTTTGTTTTTTCCCAGATAAACACCCAGAAATAAAATCAATGGATGTATGATGGTTATATTTTTAATTTTATTAGTAACCTCCATACTGTTTTCCATAGTGGTTACACCAATTAACATTCCTACCAACAATGCATAAGAGTTCCCTTTTCTCCACATCCTCACAACACTTGTAATTTCTTGCCCTTTTTCTAATAGCCATTCTAAAGTTATATAAATTCGTTATATATTTTGGATATTAGCTCTTTATCAGATATATGATTTACAAGTATTTTTTCACATTCCATCAGATGCCTTTTCATTTTGTTGACGGTTTCCTTTGCTGCACAGAAACTTTTTAGTATGATATAGTCCCACTTATCAGGTTTTCCTTTTGTTGCTCTTTCTTTTACCGTCAGATTCAAAATGTCATCACCAAAATCAATATCAAGGATCTACCACCTATGTTTTTTTTCTAAGAGTTTTATGATCAACTAAAAACAATAAAAACTAATCAAGCACTTAGAGGCTAAATAGCATGCTATTAAACAATGATTGGGTTACCAAAGAGATCAAAGAAGAAATTTAAAACATCCTAGAAACAAATGGCAATGAAAACACAACAATCCAAAATCTATGAGACACAGTGAAAGCAGTTCTGAGAGGGAAGTACATAGCACTACAAGCCTACCTCAAAAAACAAGAAAAACTGATAATAAATTATCTAACTTTACAACTTCAAGAATTAGAAAGAGAGCAATAAGAAAAGCCCAGAGTAAGCAGAAGAAAGGAAATAATAAAGATCAGAGTGGAAATAAATGACATAGAGACAAAAAAAAATACAAAAGATCAATAAAACCAAGAGCTGGTTCTTTGAAAGAATAAACAAGACTGATGAACCTCTAGCCAGGATCACCAAAGAACAAAGAGAGAGGACCAAAATAAACATAATCAGAAATGAAAGGGGTGAAATAACAACTGACCCCACAGAAATACAAAGGATTGTATAAAAAAAAAAAAATACTATGAACAACTCTATTCCAACAAAATGGACAACCTAGATGAAGTGGACATATTCCTAGAAAAAGACAATCTTCCAAAACTCAATCAGGAAGAATAAAAAGATCTGAATAGGTCGATAACTATAAAAGAAATTGAAGCAGTTAAAAAAAAAAAAAAAAAAAAAAAAAAAAAAAAAAAAAAAAAAAAACTTCCAGCAAAACAAAATCTGTGGTCCAGATAGCTTCACATGGGAGGTTTACCAAGCATTCAAAGAACTAAAACCTACCTTCCTCAAACTATTCCAAAAAATTCAATAGAAAGGCATACTTTTAAACTCTTTCTATAAAGCCAGCATTATCCTAATCCCAAAACCACAAAAAAACACTACAGAGGAGGAGAATTACAGGCCAATATCCCTGATGAACATACTAGTAGATGCTAAAGTCCTCAACAAAATTCTAGCAAATTGAAAGAAGTAAAACTGTCATTACTTGCAGATGACATGATATTATACATAAAAAACTGTAAAGACTTTATAAAAAAAAAAACTACTAGATTAAATAAATAAATTTGGCAATGTAGCAGGATCCAAAATTAACACCCAGAAATCTATGGCTTTTTTATACACCAATAATTAATTCGCAGAAAGGAGAAACAAAAAACAAAAATAAAAAAACAAAAAGAAGGAAGGAAGGAAGGAAGGAAGGAAGGAAGGAAGGAAGGAAGGAAGGAAGGAAGGAAGGAAGGAAGGAAATCCCATTTACCATTGCACCAAAAAAATTAAGATACCTAGGAATAAACTTAACTAAGAAGGTAAAACACCTGTACTCAGAAAACTAAAGGACATTGAAAAAAGAGATAGAAGAAGACCTAAATAAATGGAATAATATACTGTGTTCATAGACTGGTAGAATCATACATCAGTAAAATGTCCATATTACCTAAAGCAATCTAAAGATTCAATACAATCCCCATTAAAATACCAATGGCATATTTCATAGACCTAGAACAAAGTCTCCAAAAATTCATATGAAATAAAAAAAAAACAATGAATAGCTGCATCAATATTATTTAGAATGTCTCAGTAATTTACCTAGACATTTATTTATATTTTGAATATAGTCCAGAATGTCATGATCATCTAATTTCATGAATTATAGATTAATAGGAGAAATTAAAAATTATTCACAACTAAGCAAGAAATAGCAGCCTACAATCTAAAGAGGAGAAACCAACACATACACACACAAACTGAAAATTATATCTATATCAAATAAATACAAGAACTCCAAAGTTTCAGAACTGTAAGGAAATAACCATAAAGCTAACAGTCTAAATTATCCCAATGATCTCTGAGGGCATCATTACAGTATAGCGTGTTAAAATAACTGACATTTATAATATTATAATCATTGTGATACCTCAAATTTATGGAGTTTGCAGTTCATATGAGACTTTTATATTCATTATTAGTGTTAATTCTCAAAATCTTTGAGTTACCAAGTCAGGTATAGGTATCATAGGAAATTTTAAATTTTGTGGCTCAGGGATATTGTAGAATTTACCAAGGGTCATGTAAATTGTCATAATGGTATTGGTGTTCATAGGCTACTGCATCATGACTTCAAATCATCAAATAATATTTACTTTTATGCTATCTAATGTGGTTAGTAAGACAGAAAAGTATGTAATACATTCTAGAAATTTCCACGAAAATTGCTGATGTGCTAATAAACACATCCAAAAAATGAATTTGAAACTTACACAAATTTAATTTGAAAGTTTTTAACTTTTAAGCCCTTGAAGAAATAAAATTCAGTAACATGAAAAATTCCCTTATATCAAATCCCCATTTCTCTATATGCCACAGAGATTTAAACTTACGATGTTAGTAGTAAATCCACAACCATTAATTATACTACATTTTAAAGTATAAAAAAATAAAAGAATATGCACATTATAGCAATCACTTAGATTTGATTTATTTAACTGAAAACATAGAAGCATCAGAGGCAAGGTGGGGATAGAGGTGGCAAAGGAGATATTAACCAAAGAACTTGTATGCATACTAGTATATGCATAACCCATGGACACAGGCAAGTGTGTGAAGGCCTGGGAGGATGCAGGATGGCAGGTGCAGTGTAGAGGAGAAAATGGGGGGGGGGGGGGCAAAAAGAGACATCTGTAATACTGTTAACAATAAAGATACATTTTTTACAAAGTATTATTAGTCTTTCACCTAGAGATACTTAACTAGGTGGATTCTTGTGGGGAGAGAAAGTGGATGTGGGATATTAGAGTAGATGTCCTATATCAAAGCACTTCTCCCTTAAACATTTAGCTTTAACAATATTAGAAACGCTCAATGCTACAATATTTGGAGGCAAAATAATGATATTTATATTATTTTTAAAAATGAGAAAAAATAAATTGCTTTGGGTTTTCTTTTTGCTTTGAAGCAATTGATTTTTCATAATCAAACACTGTCCAGCAAAAAGAAAGTAGGAGAGAGAAAATTAAAAGTTGCAGCTGAAAAAAATTCCTATACTACATTTTTTCCAGGGCAAGGCTTATAGTCAGTTGAAAACCTTTATTTGCTATCATAAGAACAAAAAAAAATGCACAAAAATTTTACATAAATGGAGCTATCTGCTTAACACTCCTAATGGATCACAATCTGCCATCACCATGGTAACCTCTGAATAACTTTTTCCAGGCTAGTGCCAATTATGCACTTCTCTGGCCCTTGAAATCCCACTCTCTTTTTTTTAAGGCCTGGAATTTTTAAAAGAATAAAGCCCAACACTTAAGTCCACACATACCCTCTTGTTCAGTCCGAGTCATTTCCTCAAGCTTCTTCTGTTTCAGTGTGTCCACCACATCGGCAAGGCTCCCTTTGCGGCGTTCTGGGGTTCCAAAAGTAACACTGGTCATTATCTCGCGGTCCCGACTCCCTTCGTCAGGCTTATGTGGTGAGGTAGAGGTATTTCGGAAGGAATATAGGGAACATAACTTATTATTCTCTGACTCCTAGAAAAAAAAGAAAGAAAAGAAAAAAAAAAAAAAACAGAATAAAATAAAACCATTAGAATACTTGTTTCTTTGCATATCATTGGGAGAAAAAGATCCCAAACTCAGATTGAAAATATATGATGCTTAGATGGACAAATAAAATACAATAACTATTTCCGCTTAAAAAAATACTAAACACTAAAGCAATTATGAAAATGCAGATTCATACTGGTGCGTTGTTTTTATTAAAAGCAGCCTGTGCTTCAAAACCAATTTCAAAATGGACACCTCAACTTCTTCCTCATTTGTGCCCTTCTTTTGAAATAGTTTAGATTCAATTACTAATTATTAGAATTGGTAAAAATTTTCTTTAAATTGGCAGTTTAATTAGCAGAGCCTAAAAATACATATATATCACAAAAACATTATCATCCTTGAACTTAGAAACAGTAGAGAAATTAGCTTCAGTGATTGTTAGTTGTTCACCAGAAAACATAAAAAATATCTAAGTCACGGCCAGAAAAATAACTAACCTGAATATTTTTTTAATATATATTTTATTGATTTTGTACAGAGAGGAAGGGAGAGAGAGAGAGAGCTAGAAACATCGATGAGAGTGAGTCATCGACCAGCTGCTTCTTGCACACCCCCTACTGGGGATATGCCCGCAGCCAAGGTACATGCCCCCGACCGGAATCGAACCCGGGACCCTTCAGTCCTCAAGCCGACGCTCTATCCACTGAGTCAAACCGGTCTTGGCTTAACCTGAATATTTTTGTATGTTGAGTTTTGGGAGAATCACTTTTTTAAAAATATATATATTTTATTGATTTTGTACAGAGAGGAAGGGAGAGAGAGAGAGAGTTAGAAACATCGATGAGGGAGAGTCATCAATCAGCTGCCTCCTGCACACCCCCCACTGGGAATATGCCCGCAACCAAGGTACATGCCCTTGACCAGAATCGAACCCGGGACCCTTCAGTCCCCAAGCCGATGCTCTATCCATTGAGCCAAACCAGTCTCGGCGAGAATCAATTTTTTCTAGCTGTATATCTATCAAAAATTACAGAAACTTCTTTCCATTCCTTACCTTTACCCTAGTTAAACACATTTCTCATATAGCATTTAGAAATGGTTTGTTGTTTGTTTGTTTACAAAGGAACAAGTTGGTTACAGAAACATTTGCACAAGAATTACTTCACAGTACAGAGAAAGTTGGCTAACTGTGATGAGGAAAAACAAATCTTAGATGAAAAATAATATACACCTATAAGTTTATAGAAAGAAAATATTTACATATCCCTCTAAATCAGAACTGAGGGTTGAAAGCAACTACTATTTGTCCATTGCCCATCAGTAGTCTTGCACTCGCCTTATCTATCTGTGCTCAGGCAGTCTCTCTCCCAATAAGAAATGTTTTGAACTAAAGCCTTTGTGATTTTCATCAGAAGCTTGAAAATCCTATCTGCTCCTATATTTCTCGCCATCTTCACAAAGAAGCCTGGCAAGCTTCCAGAACTATGTAGAAGAAGAAGAAGCAGGAGGTAAGTTACGGTTAATAATTAGTGGAAAGGGGTGGAAGGAAAAGGAATCTAGAGAAGTTTCCACATATATTAAATAATGATTGTACTCAATAAATGTTATGTATGTATATATTATCATTTTTAAGGAGGTAGGAATAAAACTTATTTTCAGAGTTATTGGGAGCATATAATGAAATAACAGTTATAAAGTAATTAGACACAATGCTAAACTCATAGGCAGTGGTTTAATTAATGGTAGGTGCTATTATGCTGATTAAGGAGCAGACTTAGGAATGGAGTCATGGAGTATTATCCCCCTTCTTTGGTAAGAAATGTTATGAGTCTTGAACTAAATTGAATATTGTGAAGTCTGTGAATATATTTTAAAAACTACTGAATTGTATACATGAAAAGGATAAATAGTTATGTGTATTATATCTCAATAAAAGCTATTAAAATACTGCAAGTCCAGGAATTAAGCAAAGAAATAAAAAGACTCATGGACACAGACAACAGTATAATAATTGCCAGAAGAAAGAAGGTAAAGGGAGGATAAATGGTGATGGAAGGAGACTCAACTTGGGGTGGTAAACACACAATATGCTCTACAGATGGTGTGTTGCAGAATTGTAAACCTGAAACCTGTATAATTTTACTAACCAAATGTCACCCCAATAAATTCAATTTTAAAAAAGTCTGTAGATTCAACGCAATCCCTATTAAAATACCAATGGCATACTTCACAGAACTAGAACAAATATTTCAAAAGTTTATATGAAATTATATAGACCCCAAATAGCTGCAGCAATCTTGAGGGGGGGGGGAAGAATTAAGTTAGAGAGTTCATAATTCTTGATATCAAACTATGCAACAAAGCTATTATAACCAAAACAGCTTGGTACTGGCACAAAGATAAGCATACAGACCAATAGATCAGAAGAGAAACCCCAGAAATTGACCCACACCATTATGGTCAATTAATATTTGACAAAGGAGGCAAGAATATACAATGAAATAAAGACAGCCTCTTCAATAAATGATTCTGGGAAAACTGGACAGACACATGCAAAAAAATATTGTGAGCCAAATCTTAACCTTTTCCACATTCCCATTGTTGGCACAATGTCTATCACATTTGTGCTGAAATCAAGTAACAAGGATACAATTAATGGGGCAGAGCAGGAAAGAGAGCTCCTCTTTACCTTGGTCCTAGATCTCTTCCTTCCCCAGGAGAGATGTTATATTTCATTAAAGTTTACAATAACGCTGTGGGGTGATGCAGAGGAACTCCTCTAGATGCCAATCATGTTTACGCCTTAAACATGGCTTTTTGGAATGGCCTCTTGATTCTTCACTTTGGACAAACAAAAACTGAGATATGTTTTTGGAAAGCCATTTTGACCTCTTACTACTGTCCCTATCAGAAATCTGACCGAAGTGTTTTTGAATTGATAATTACCATTTGATCAATCATGCTTCAGTCACTTTCATTTCAAATGCAAACTAGTCTTATAGCCTATAAGTCAAAAAACAAATTCTGATTCAATCTAAGGGATTCAAGACCAAGTCAAAACATGAGGAGGTGGTTATCCATAGATGACTCACTATTGTCCATAATAAAGCAAATTTTTCCATCACTCAAAACATGGTAGAAGTGACTCTCCAGCCTGAGTAACAACTTTTAGTTGTCCTTAAAACATTTGGGCTCCATACAGTACCACTTTTTTCTCTCAGGACTAATTTCAGTCTTACTTACTCATGTCATTTACTTAGATCAACTACATCTCTTGTTGTTTTTTTACTCATGGTAATGTAGTCACTACCATCCTGCACCACAGACAGTAACCATGGGTTCCCTCACCGATTACCCACACACTGTCCTCAGCCCTGTAATGTGTGCAAAGTGGCTCAACACCACAAAAAAGCAGGCAACAGAGAGGAGGGAAGATGGCGGAAGAATAGATGGGCGGTTTCTGAGCCCTCTCCTGAAGCAGAAAGAGAGAGCAACTGATGGTCTTGAGCTGTGAGTGTTTATTAGCAAGCTGGGAGACAGCGAACACCAGAAGAAACTGCTGGGGGGCTGCTGACAGAGGTACCCCTCACAGGGAAGCACCCACGCGGGCTGCGTCCCTGCCCGGAGCTACCTGCCGGCTTGGATAGGGAAACCTCGCCATCTTGAGAGGAAGATAGGATCGTGTCAGAGGCCTGAATATCAACAGCCGCAGCGACCAACAAGCAACTGTGACCCCCAGAACGCGGATCCCAGGCGGCGCGAACACCTGGCCTCACAGGAGTGCCCCACTGCTTGGCGAAAAGGTCAGATTTCGCGGGGAGAGGGTGGAGCGCACTCGAGGCGAAAACAAAGACTGCGCGCAGAACGCGGAAGCTGGAGGACAAGGGCGGCGATTACAAGTACAAGCCCCGCTGTTGGGCGGGTGTCACCCGTGAAAGTGGACGGGGCTCCTAACAGGGGAGATATCTAAAGAGCAACGCATTTGGATCTGGCGCGGAGGGGTATAGGAGAGTTGCGGGAGATTGAGGTTGCTCGGACCTGCCCCCTCCCCCCTCCGTAGTTCCTGCTGCAGAGAGGACTAAAAAAAAAAAAAAAGCTGGAGAGGCTCTAGAGTCTGGGAAGTCAACCTAGAAACACTGCCCCCAGAGGCTAATTCACAAATTGACTCTAGTGTAATAAAAACAAAGCAAAACCTGCCTAAAAATCAGGACTGGATCATAACAATAGAGGAAGCGAATGACCTTCATTACCGCAAATTTTATTTAAATTTTTTAAATTTTATTAATTTTTAAATTTTTAAATTTTTGTTTTTTATTTTTGTTTTCATTATTTGCAACGTTTACTCAAGAAACTATTTTTTTTCTTTTTCCTCACTTGATTTTATCTTTATAATTACTACATTGTACTACTACTAAGTTACCTTTTTCATCTTATTTTTTTTGTTTATTTTTATTATTTTTATTTCATTTGATTATATATATATATATATATATATATATATATATATATATTTTTTTTTTTATTTTATTTCAGGATTACTGTTCTACAGGCTTTATCTATCTTTCCTTCTCCAACGCTTTATTCTATCTCAACCTATCCTTTATGCCTTCACCCTCTTTCCGATATTTTCCTTTGGTACCCCGTTTATCTTAACCCTTTCCTGCTCTAGATTTTCCCCATTCCTTCTGTCTACCCCCTCCTAAAATTTCACCCTACTTCTATATATCTAATTTCCAACTACTTGCTCCGAGCCCATTCACACCTCCCTTGCAGTTGTCCTAAAAACAAAACAAAACAAAAGTCTTTCTCTCTAACACTTTGAAGTTGTATGTTGAATGTTAACTATACTGAAGTTGTATGCTTTTGTTTATAAGATTGATTTGATATGCTTTTTGTTTGATTGTATGTTTTTGCTAGCTGGGTTCTAGTCACCCTTATTTGTGGTTATTAATATTTCAAACACATCCCGATTCAGTCCCCTG